TAGACAGAACACAAAAACACACACACGACCCGGAGCCGGACATCGCGACCCGGAGCCGGACATCGCGACCCGGGCTCAGACCCGCAGAGAACGAGACAATTCTGAGGACGTGCTACAGAATGACGCTTGGTCAGCGTCTGATACGCAGCCAACACGCGCACTCACAGCATCCGCTGCACATACCTAGAACAGGGCGACGACCAAAAATATTTATCACCATATACATTGGAAAATTTGCGATAACGATGTAACTGACATGAGACAAAATACTTTACAACTCCACAACTTTATTAGTGCAAAAACAAAACATCAATGTATTTTAACTTAAACAAGCAGCTGTTTCTTATGTGCATTAAAATAAATATAAAAATGTAACAGTGCAAACTCCTCGCTGACAGTTTAACCAAAAGGCATTTCCAGTGGAAACTGGCCGACATATCCTCAGCATAACCATGTATAACATCCACAAAACTTAAAAAGAGGTTATACACACACAACACGGTAATATTATGTTGAAGCACAGCACGTATCACTCCGCGAGGATACATAAGGCACACGGGATTATAAGGGGCTCTATCGACTTTCAGAAAAATCAAAGGATTGATTTTAAGTGCGCCGTATTTTCCAAACAACACGGTAATAACGACGGCCCGCTAGCATGCGCTACCAGAAATAGTGCTTTGTTGTGTATCTGAGGGTCGAAAGCTAAACCAGTTCCACACCAGTGAAGCTGCAGCAGATGAACCAGTCCAGGTTCATCTGTTTCAGTCAACGATCCGCTTTCGCTCTTCTCGTTCTGCGTCGCCTCCATGTGCGTATGAAAACAAAGGCACTGCGCATGCGCGTTTTACCCATATTCTATCGCAATATTTCATTTTCCTATCATTGCCCAACATGACACCGGTGTTACCGTGAACGGTATGATATAGCCCCGCCCTACCTCCACCTGTGGTCATGAGGAATAAACCACTAGATTCTGAGAGTGGCTTCCACATTTCTGAGACCACAATCACATAACAGCGTCCACAGCTGCAGACTTCCTGTGCCACAGGGGGCGCTCTCGGCCACAGTGAAAGCAGCTCTCTGGAAAACTTGAAGTTTTCATGAAGTTTCTGGCGGAGACAGCAGAGCCGGGCGCCATCGAGAGAGCACGTCCTGCCCAATCAGCACTCAGCAGCAGAAGACATGCTCAGGAAGTACAGCACAGCGATGAAGGGCATCGCCTCCACCCTGCTGCGCAAACACCACTCCATGTTTAACTTCAACTGACGACACGCTCGACCCTCCCTCAACTTCCTGTGCAGGCTTTCAGGGTGTTACATCATAGTCTACATCATGTAACAAGGACCGCGACACGAGTGGAGGGAGGAGAGGGGGGAGGCAGAAGGGGATGGAGGAGAGATGGGGGAGGGGAGGCAGGAGGGATGGGAGGAGGGGAGGGAGGAGAGGAGGGAGGAGAGGAGAGGAGGGAGGATAGGAGGCAGGATGGAGGAGAGGAGGGAGGAGAGGAGAGGAGGGAGGAGAGGAGAGGAGGGAGGAGAGGGGGCAGGATGGAGGAGAGGAGGGAGGATGGAGGAGAGGAGGGAGGAGAGGAGAGGAGGGAGGAGAGGAGGGAGGAGAGGAGGGAGGATGGAGGAGAGGAGGCAGGAGGGGATGGAGGAGAGATGGGAGGAGGGGTGGGAGGAGGAGAAGCAGTTGGGGAGGCAGAAGGGGATGGAGGAGGGATGGGAGGAGGGGAGGCAGGAGGGAGGGAGGAGAGGAGGGAGGATAGGAGGCAGGATGGAGGAGAGGAGGGAGGAGAGGAAGGAGGGAGGAGAGGAGGCAGGAGGGGAGGGAGGAGAGGGGGCAGGAGGGGAGGGAGGAGAGGGGACAGGATGGAGGAGAGGAGGGAGGATGGTGGAGAGGAGGGAGGAGAGGAGAGTAGGGAGGAGAGGAGAGGAGGTGTGTTACTGTGTGTGTGTTACTGTGTGTGTGTGTGTGTGTGTGTGTGTCTGATGTAACCTGGAGGAGTTTCTCTGCTAATGAGGTTGAAGGAGGTCAGAGGGAGGAAGGAGAGAGGAAGAAGGAGGGCAGGAAGAGAGGAAGGATCGTCCTGTGTGAGTCGGAGCACACGCCGGTTTGTGTGATGTCGTTAAAGAACAGCCGGCTGCACGCGCTGCACGGAGCGCTCAGGCCGCAGAGCGTGAGCGATGAAACCCTTGGACCCGAAGCCTGAAGATGAACTCCCATGACGCGTTTTCAATACAGCGCGCCGTCACACCTGACATCACACCCTCCGTCTCCTGGGACAGTCCACGCAGCTCATCCATGGCAGTGCCCACAGCCTCTGCAGAGTCAGGTCAGCTGACTTTTTAAGGAACACGTCTTTGCTTCTTTGCTTAAAGGTGGAAATAAAATACAGACAATAAACGATGACATCATCATCACGTTCCCTCCAGCTCCAGCTTCAGCCGCCCTGCATGCTGTGCAAAGGGAAAAGTCAGAATGCCGACCTGGCAGCGAGTGCATTTATTGTTTCAGAGGTCATGTGGTGGAAGCCCCGCAGATCGCCGTTTGAAGCATTTAAGGAGGAATTCCCCTGCAAACCTGCGCTCTGAAACACACCGCCACACCTGCAAGCTGCGCCTTGCTGAAGGTGATGCAGCTCTGAGATAAACAGGCC